TCTTGACCAGAGTCACTCTCAGGAAAGAAAATGGAATCCAAAATGATTCAGCAGGTTTGTGAGGTTTTAAGGAACAGCGAAGTGTACAGATTGCCCCAAATCTGACGCAACGAGAGTTGCATCTGATTCAGTCCGATTCTCCAGTTTCAGTAGCTATGTTTGTAATACAGCACTAAAGGAATAGAAATAAATACGTTCCATATTTCTCGATAGAACACTTAATGAGAGTACAAAATGTTTCTTAGTGCTCCTCATGCTTTGGCATAAGTTAATTAAGGCAAGAAAAATCTATTCCCTCTGAAGAGGAGTAAGGGATTTGAAATGTGTAGAATAGGTAGAAACCAAATAAAAAGTCTTTATATTTTGTTGAATTTCAGATCAAATTTGAAAGTAGTTGCTTGCAAAATGAAAGTGCATGAAGTAAGGGCATATGGAAACAGTTTATAGGGCATCTGGCTTGATTCTGTAAGTTTAGGAAAAAAGCGGGGCTATCTGTCATCAGTTACTCGATGAAATGCCATGGACATACCAGTTCAGCCAGGCTGCACCCAGAAACCTAGGTTTTAAAATTAAGAATAAGATCGTGTGTAACAAGTTATTTCTGTTCTATGGTAACTGTCCATGTGCACTTTTCACATCAGCAAATAAGACTTAATTTGAGTTAATTAGCTGTCTTTCATTCTTGTGAAATAAAACATATTACGCATGCTTACACAGACAGACTTACAAGTATGTAGATGTATTGGGGTAGAGGAACTTTTAATAAGCATCCATTTCCCCTATGTGAAAATTTGTAGCCATGGGAATAACACTTACTAAAAAATCATGATTAGGACTTGTTTTTTTTGTTTAGCACATGTATTGTGGTTTTATGCACGTGCAGTCATGCTTTACGTGGTGTTTTTCTGAATGTATGGAGATACTGTATAAATTGCAACATGAGAGAATGTACGTATGCCATAGGCAGATAATGTCCAGGGACTTGTGAACATTTTGTGTGTAATGTGAGTAAATGAAGATGACCGGTTCTATTGATTTACAGAATACTTCATTACATTGTCAGTGCTGTATAAAAGCATAATAAAAGTCTTGTGTTTATGTTGGATGCATTAATTAGTGAAAAAGACTCGCTGTGTGTTTCCTACACTTTTTGTTGAGGATATTTGTACCGTATGGTAAATTAAAGACATATGACACACTGCAGTGGGGCGAGACAGTGAGGCCACTCTTCTCTTGCATTCGTTGTACGTCCAGTGGGTATGGTGTGATGTACAGTTGTTCAGTATGGCCTCCAGCAGCATTTGCATGTACGCTGTTGGGTTTCTGGGCTGCAGGAAGGGGAAAGGTTTGTGACGGAGAGCATCTGGGCTACACCTTTGCTTGTTGTGGTGGTGGAATGACATATCTCACGGTAGGTACAGGAAGCGCGCGCTGTGAAAGTGGCAGAGAGCAGCTGGGTGTAGGTTAGCCGTGCTCTTTGCCATGGTGGTGGTTTTGCTTGTGGCACGGTACGGTACATACTTTACGCAGCTGTACTGAGGAAAGGTGAAAGGGAGGCAGTGCTCCAGCGCCGGAGGGTCACCCGGGCCTGTTGCTGCCAGGTCCCTGCCCGGGCCCGGGGGCTGCTGAGGGCAGCAGCACCACTCGGTGCCAGGGCCCGATCCGGACGGAAGGTGTCAGTTTCCATGGCCGACACTGAGGAAACTGTGTGTCTTGTGTGTGAGCTGCCCCCCGTGCGCGCGCGTATGCGTGAAGGGAAGCAGCTGCTGTGTGTGCGTGAGGCGGGGAGAGAAGGGAGCCGGCTGCCCTCTCTGCGTGTGCCTGTGTATGAAGGGAGCCGTGTGTGTGTGGGAAGCCTGTGCGGGTGGGTGTGAGAGAGAGGGGAACCGGTATGTGTTTTGGGGGGGCGTTGGTGTGTGTGTGTGAAAGGGGCCGGTGTGTGCGGGGAGAGCCCGTGTGTGTGCGTGAGGGAAGCCGATGTGTGTGAGAGGAGCCGGTGTGTGTGGGGAGAGCCGGGGGGGGGGGGGGGGGGGGGGCGGGGGGGGGGGGGGGGGGGCCTGAGGGGTCTGTGGGGGGACCAGGAGCAGTGAGGGGTGCTATGGGGGTTCAGGGGTCCCCAAACACTGTGTCTCCTCCGCAGGGCCCTGGTGTTGGCTGCGGC